AATGACAAAAACAATTTAATTTATAAAAAACTAATTTTGTTCACTTGATAATAATAAACATAATATAATAAATTTGTAATAGATATAAGCTTAGTATGGACTGCTAAGATTATTTAATAAACATTAATAATTACTATTTATATATAGTATAAGGCAGATGCAACACCCTTAAAATTGAATTGGGTAGGTATTTTATAGTTACATAAATTGTTAATAGATTCTTGAATTTAACTATTATTATACATTCATAATTTGGAATCTTTATTGTGATTTGTTCTAATAGTTCTAATAAACTTAAAGTTAACTTACAGCAGCAACTGATGGAATAGTAGTCTGTTCAGGAGATGGATGTGTCACATCAGCTCCAAAAATAATTGCTCCATCCATACTAGGTGGGCTAAATCACAAATAATTTGATTAATGTGTTATTTAATAAAACCTTATTATACTATATTTATTTAGATGTAAAGCTTTGATTAGATTCAATTTTGACAACTTAAAAATATTGATTTGTATTGAATTAATTTGTTAAACATTATGCCAAAAAAAGAAGATCAAGCATAATTAAAATTATATTTATGCCCACCAGTTATACAAATGTCTATAAGCTGAGGAATYACTAAATTAACAAAATTAATATTAACATTTGATTTAATACTCTCAGCAGAGTGATATTTATGCAAATTAATGGTAATACAATGTGTGTTGTAATATAAATAAAATATTGTTGTTACTATTACATTTCAATTTTTAAAACATTTAAAATGTTGTGTGATTTACATTARGCAGTAAACTTGTCATGAGTAAAGCTATAACAGATGATTTTGCTTAAGCTGTTGAGTAYCATATATAAGTGAGAGAATGTAAAGACAATTGAGAAATATTATATTATATCGTTATTATAAACTGTTAAATGAATTCATTAAATAGAAATCCATGAAAACCTATCCGCAATTTAATGTTTTTCTATGAAGCAGAGGGAAGAATAACTTTGATTTTTGTCAGTTGTACAAAAGTTTAAAAATTGAATATAGTATACCAAATACACTACAAGTAATTCATATATCAATAAATAAATATCAAAAATACATAGTCACAATAGATTTTATAAGTGTTTGAAGTTCAAATTTTAATGTAATTAGAAATTCAAACATAAGAAAACAAATTTTAAAAATTGTAACAATCTAATATTACTTAAAACATTATTTTCATAYATAATGCTATTTCAGAAGCATTAGAACATTAGACAATTTTGTACTGTTTATGCGCATTTGAAATACAGTAGAATCCGCTTAATTGGGACACATTGGGCGGTGACCTATTTGTCCCCATTATCCGACTGTCCCGATTAACCGGATAACTAATAAACCGAAACTATTAAAGTGCATATATCCATACATAATAACTTTATTTAAAAAATACATACATACATACACACTTAATTCATACTTTATTTAAAAATTACATATNATAAGAATTCTGGAGATGCACTGCAGTTTTCTTTTCTTCTATCATACCCCCTAATATTATATTATGCAATTCTTCTGGGCGTCTCAGGGCGTGTCCGATCATTTTCCAGCGTCTTCCTCTTATCACGTCTATGAGTGTACGTTTTTCTCCCACTGTTCTAAGTACTTCTTCATTCTATCCAACTTATCCTTTCCATACGTCTCAAGCACATATAAAATGTCGGGGTCTTGTATTAGTCTTTGTCTAAGTATTAAAATACTTATATGACTGTCATATTTATACATAAATGGCATATACTGTAAATTGAGTTTTTTTTTGCTCCGTATATTAATAATAAATAAATAAGGCTGTTTTGCCGGATTTTACATTTTTAAGCATGCCAGCAAAGTTGCCAGTCCTATGCCTAGAGAAAATGTGAAGGAAAATGTTACTGCCACGGTTAGGTGCCACTTATATCATWGTTACAGGTAGTAGGACGGAATTCAGACATATAGTTGCTCCGCCTCCTGGACGGAATTCGGTCTTCAGTTATGGAACCATGGGGGCATGGGGCCCATGGGGGGCCCTGGACGGAATTCGGTACCAGCCTTGGGGACACCTGACATCCGATGGTTTTGTCGATATCGGAGAGCATAAATTGTAAATTTTTTAAGAGATCATGATATTATCAGAATTGGAGATGGGACCTCAAGCACCCGATATTATTAGAACATGGACAATCGACACCACGGCTATATATATATAGATAGTATACTGAAATTAATATTCATTAAACACGAATCATTCAGAAATTCAAATTTTGACTTGATCAGTTTYGTAAATAGAAAACACTTTTAATACGAAAAATGTTTTAAAATAGTTTATCCGAATACGAAGAAAAAAAATTGTATATCCATTTATAATAATTTAATATGTATAGCGTTTAATTTAAATGCTTGGAAAAAAAGACAACTTTTCAAAAATACCATAAAGAATAATCTTATTATTGAAACTCAACTAAGGCTTAGTCAGGTGAAAAATTAAGATTTAAGGTACAAAAAGTGCATTAAATTATTTAYATAAGACCAATTCATTTTCAATGAATGAATTAACTGAATAGATTAACACATTAGGTTGAAAAGTAACTTTATTAAGAAAGTAAAATAAAATAAGCAAAGTATATTTAAAAAATCTTGTCCTAAACGATAAAAGTATATAATATTATAGGATATAATGGGTTATAATATAAAGAAATATAGATATAATTAATACT